TGCCCCAGATGGAGGGCGGTGGCCGACCCGACCCACTGGAAGCTTCCTAAAAAACAGTTGAACTGTTAGGAGCAGAGAGGAAGGTTTGGAAACAGTCTTCTTGGAGCTAAAGATTAGGGTGATGGAAAGGAGGCCCTCCACCCTCCTGAAGGAAAGCCAGTGGAAGAATCTCAGGAAAGTTTCAAACAAACTGATCCTGACTGATGCAGGACTGTGAATTTCACTGTATGTGAATCAGAAGCTGCCTCCATGACCTCTGACCTCTGACCAACCTGCACCCACTAATCTAGCCCTGTGTGCTCTGGCTCCCAAACAAAGCAGGCTTCACATGATGGGTCATCGCCTCAAAAACAATACATCGATCACACAAAAGGAAGGCTTCGGGGAAAAACCACAGGGCTCAGAAACCGTATCCAGGGACACAAATAGCCGTCCTGATTTTAACAGTGACAAGGCGACAGCCAATTGCAGCCTCTATTTTTAGCTCTGCCTCTGGCAGCTCTCAGGAGGATGTGTACTTTTCTACAGTTCCTTCCCCAAAATCAACGCCGTCCTTGTTGGCGACAATCAGAGCGCAGCTGTTGTGGCTAGGCGGGCCGTCCCCACCCCGCCGCTCGCTGCCAGCCTGCAGGAGAAACGCCTTAGCTGCACTCAGTTCACACCCAGATCACAAAAACAGCAGGAAAGTCCACACAGGAGCAAACGTGACCCGGTGGGTTTCCGTCCGCTGAGATGATGGTGTTTTCATCGAGGCGGGGGGCGGGGCTGGAGGAGACCATCTCAGCACCAGTTACAGACCAGTCTGCCTGAATGGGATGAGCTGCTTCAAACTGGGACCAGGCAGGAGGAAAACCTGACATATAAACATGTTCCAGCCATGAAAACAGTGATGAGGATGTTTGTGAGGAGCTCAAACAAAGACGCCCCCCCCCCCGTCCCTGTCCAGACTAATTGCTGACAGGTGGCCTTAAAGCTTCCCTTTGAAACCAGAGAGTGATTTAGGAGCCGAACATCTCAGACTTATCTCTCCCTCCTTCTTTAGACCAAATCTCTTGTTTTTCCTCAGTTGCACCTCATTATTTTGCTCGTTCACTTTCACCTGCCCCCCCTCCCTCCCTTTGATGTAGCGGGGCCACTCATGTCTGACGATCCCTCTGATGGAAGTCTGAACGGGAGGAGAGAGGACTCCATGACAGTTTGGAAAGGATGGAAAGAAATTTTTTCAAGGTTTTTCAAAATAAAATACTCCCGAAAGTGCATAGAAATAAAAGCCTAACAGGCGAGTGGTCTTAGGGAGGGGGCCCCGTGTGGCCCCGTGAGGAGCCCTGTGGGGTCTGGATCACGGGCCCCTCAGTGTAGCGATGACACCACCACTCCAAGGCCGCCTCACCATCAGCTGTAAAAACATTTCTAAGGAAACGTTGATGCAACAACTTCTATGAGCTAAATATCAATCAATGACCCCCCCCCCATTGAAGTGTCTACAGAGTGAGGAAGCAAACAGCCTCTGCTGGTGGAAAGTCCTGCAGCTCCGTTCTCTGAAGTGTTTACAGACCCCCCCCCATCCCGGCTCAGGGTTATTCCTGGAAGCCAATCGCTGATGAGAACTGTGATATTTTACACTGACTGACACCTCTGGGTCACGCAGGGCGGTTGGCACCGACCACGGCGGTATCAGTGTGTCTGTGACGCCTCGCCACACAGACGGCTGACAGACGGACAGAGTCCAAGTGAGTGGAAACGCCCACTCAGGCGCGTTCATGGACACCGTGGAACGATCGCTTCTGATAGCCACCATGGGTATCTGCATCATGATCTATGATCAGGAGATCCGCCTGCAGGGGGGGTCGCTGAGCAGAACCCCCCCCATCCTGCAGCAGCAGAACCTGCTGCCTGAATAAAACCCGGTTGAATCAGAGTAGGTGGATTATTACAGCATCACAGGAAGCTCTGTGAGACTAAAACAGTCGCTCTGCTCTGACTGTCAGTGTTTTGAGGAGGGGGGGGCTCACAGAAGCACTCACTGCTGGTTGAAGACGCTAAACTCAGAGCGATCAATGATTTCACTCCTCCGACTCAATCAGAAAAGCCACCAGGTTAGTTTCTGATCACAGGAAGCTGAAGAAGCGGCTAAATATAAGAGCAAAGTCACCAAGATGGCTGCCGTGGGAGGGGCTAGCCAGGCGTGATCTCTGTCAGCAGAAACCCACAGAAATCAACCAGAGGAGGAACTAAGAAAACTCTTTTCTTTCATGGACAGAGAAAGATTTAGTTAACTGTGGTGAAATAGTCAATTATCGTTACCAACAGGGAAAAGTGGAGCATCTGCAGCTCTTTGTTTACAGCAGTGGTAACCAGTTAAAGAAAATCATCAACCAGTAAAGGAGACATTTTTACTTATAATCTGTTTAAGCATAATTTAGCTCTGAATGAAATGCAGATGTTTATGCATAATGTTATACATTGAATTTTTAAATAAAAAAAAAGTAATACAACATTTTTCCATTTTAAAATCTAAATTGTTTTTTTAA